CTCGCATTGTGGCGTAGTTTCAAAGATATCGTCACGATGGTACCAACGTTTGTTGACATACAAGGGTTCACCGACAGAACCAGGTTTATCGTAAAGGAAGTGGCGGTATTGAGAAAAGGAACCGTTCTCACCCATTACATTTTTAAGAGCCCGTATCCATGGAATTCACTAGCCAAGGCAGCCGATAAATCTCGTGCTTCTTGGGTGACGACAAATCATCATGGATTTTCGTGGGAAGATGGCTTCGTTCCATACAGTATGGCGAAACGATTGATTACAACGGCAATAGTCGATAACGATGTATGGGCTATCGCATATGTCAAGGGAAGAGAAAACGTGACTGGTTGAAAAATCTACTTGATAGAAATGCGAATATAACCATTGAGACCATGGATGCTGATTACAAAGATATCGCGTGTTTGAAAAATCTTGATGTTACTAATACCATGCGATGCATAAACCATGTAACGAATTGCGCTTTACAAAATGTATTTAAATTGTACAACTGGTGGCTGAAATACCAGAAATAAAAAATGTATCTATTTTTGGGAAATTGACTTTGAATTGTTAGTATTAAGTTTAGATGGAATACACTTATCAATAAAAAAAAAATAACTTGGATATATGTGTCTTTCTTTCTAGCGCATTTCCCCCCATATCATATTCTCATCCGGTGTAATGTTTATCAGCCTCCCCTGACAAATGGTGATGCGTACTCCACAGTTTTTGTTTCTCGCTGGATTGGATCTTTCGCTGTAACGTTTTCAAAGCCATTCGCAGTCTGACAGTGCTTAAGACAACAACCAATTGCTTGAAAGTTTTTCGTGAAGTGCTTCAATTTTTAAAACGAAAATAAGTGAAAAATACATATACAGTAGTGACCAGTTCCTGGCGTTATCAGTGTGTGAAAGTGTTGCAGAAATTTTTTTTTTTTTTTAAATACTGGATTATTAATAGTCGTAGCATTTGACCGACAAATGTGTCATATTGATAACACCACGAACTCGACAGTGAAATGGATATTCCTGAATGTTGTGCGTGAAAAGAAATATTAAAAATATCATTTCTTTTTTTCTTATAGAAATGCCAGTGAACAACAACATGTTATTCAACATCATTCCGGAAAACGTTGAGGAATTCGACTTCGATGTGGTGCTCCCGGAGGAGCACCCCGAAACATATAGATACCTACTTTCGGTGGGGTGCATGCGGGAGGTCCGAGGATATAGTCCGCGACGATATAGTAACAACAGAACAGACGACAACAGCGCCACAACGGAAAACGCGATAGCGAGGCAGCCATATTGCCATATAAATCATCAAGATTTCACACCAACAAAGCTCATCAAGTTTTTTGAAGCGAAGAAGCAATATTTTCTCACGATTTTTTTTCTAAAATATTCTTTACATCACTCCGCATACCACTCTAATACCCAATTTTGCAATTTCGGTCTTGAAACTTTATAAATAATAAAAGTATGATTTTTCTTTTCTTATAGAATAAATTTGTTTACAAACACTTTTTCCGAAATCGGGCCTTACAGTGGCATGCGCCAAGGTATAAGGAATATTTTGAAACCAGAATTATTAGAAAATATTGCTTCTTTGCTTCAATATCCTTGACAAGAATCATGCTAGCCTAATCGCCTTGTTCTCGTCTCTCCTGCAATTGTTGTTTCGCCCTCTCTGTCCTTGTCCCGGAGTTTCCTACTTTTTCCGCAACAGTCGCTGAAGTCAACTCGGAGTTTGGCTCTGGGTCCTATGCATCTCCGATTCGGCAGGTCGGTATTACAGCAGCTACTCTCTGCATAGAAATGGTATTACCATTAGATATGCGGCAGCGGAGGAAAACTAGATGGAGCTGCTTGTTATTGCCATAGAGTATAGTTTCTTCTCAACAACATATACTGTATACTTCTTCCTTGAGGGATTCTGAATGCTCAGCGTAGTAAGTAGTAGTATTCTGTTCCGCGCTGCTTATTACGTTGTGTAGTGCGGTCACACTTCACCATCGCCCGTGCATATACGAATAGGAGGTAGGGTGAGGGACCCTCGGCGCCACTGCGGCGCCCCGTAGAGTTGCTCCGCGCTATCGAGAATTTGGAAACCTTTAACAATTTTTTACGCGACAACGGTTCGTCTCCGGCATGTGGCTCCTTTGAAGCTTTTTACCTACTCCTCGAGTAGAATTTTTTAAAATTAAAAAAAACTGACCTTAAATTTCGAGGTAATAATGAATTTTGCGGACGGTTTTTTTTTGCAAATGTCCACCGATCCAGATGTGTACAATAACTCCTGAAAGTGGTGACCAATAATTTTTATACACTCTGCACACCCTGATTTCATTTGTCAAAATAAAGAACTTTAATACAAATTACTTTTTGAGTTGATACTAATTGAATATAAAAACTGATACTTACATATCCTGAAAAATCCATTATTAATGTTTCCTATTTCCCATAAATATTTTAACAGAAACGTTTAAAAAATATTCGGATAACATAAAATTTATGTTTAGAAGATGCGTATTGAATATTCGGGCAATATTGAGTAAATCTTGAAATTAAGAGATTTAAAACAAAAATTAAATCAAATTTTATATTGTGTTTCATTTATTCATAGATTTTACTTTTATTACTTTATTTCTTGTGATTGGATTCCATTAAAACAAGTTATTTTAATTTTTTTTAACTCGGTGGGAATTTGAATATCAGATGAATATGTATTTTATATTCGAGAAAAAATATATTGTTGCGAATATTAAATAAACATGTATTTTATATTTGGGAAAAAATATTCCATTCTAAATATTGAATAGATATTCATTTTATACTTAAAAAAAAAAATATTTTTTTCTAAATCTGGAATAAACATCATATGTATATTTAAATATTAAAATGAGATTCAATCTCTTTCATTGGATGAATCTGCATTCAATATTGTGTGCTACTAGGATATGTGAACCTGACACCCAACTGCCAAAAAATTAACTTTTTTTTATGGAAAATGATAGTGTTTCGTTTCGATTTTAGTGTTAGGTTGTTACAATTTTTTTTCATTTATCATTGATCCCATGTTCACATAGCTTACAAGGAGACATCGCCTAGTGTCTGCCGAATTGTTAAATCAAATTTTTTTCATATGTAAAGAAGGGAATGTGGAACAATCTCTGCAAGTGAGAAGGCGCGACTTTCTTTCGTTTTTGAGAAATAAATGTTTAAAAATAGCTAAATTTCGATTGACAAGTGTCAACCGTATAAGAGGCGGAGGTATTATAGAACCAGCGTTGCACAGTCGATAAAGTGCCATATTACGAAGACGATCTTTTGCGCTAGAAAGCAGTTCGATCCCGGTTGGAGTCACTTATTTTTTTTTTTTTTTTTTTACTTTTTCTTCCGTTTGTATTATATTTTGTTATGGAAACCATATTTTTATATATTAAGATTATTTTTATACAATCTTGTGCAATTTTTATGATTTTTATCGTATTGAAAAAGAAGTCAGAAAAGAGAAGGAAGAAAAAAAAGAAAGAACGAAAAGGAAAAGAAAGAAAGAAAAAAGAAGTTGTGCAATGTTTGTTTAATATAATTAAATTATTATGTACAAATTATAATGACGTAAGTTTTTATAAAAGCTTGTAGAAACTCCTTTCATATCCTGACTTCTTTTTCAAAGCGATAAAAAACATAAAAATTGAACAATATTGTATAAAAATAATCTTAATATATAAAAAGGTAGTTTCCTTAATAAAACATCATACAAACGGAAGAAAAAGGGAAAAAAAATAAGTGACTCCTATCGGGATCGAACCGCATCCAGCGCAAAGCTAGAGTATCGAAGCGACGACGAAAGTAGAAAGAAACAGTTCGATGAAGAAGGAAGAGAGACTGAGAGTCGACGGTGGCAAATGTGAGGATACGGGATCGGGATGCTAAGCGCGATTTCGACCTCAGTGAAATGGCAACAGTGTAGAGAGACGCTGTTGTGAGAACGGCAACATCGCAATTGTATCGACATCACGTTAGCAGTCGTCCTCAGTAAGCGCCATCTCCTATCGATTGTCTGAACTAAATTTGTGACGTCACTTGCTCTGATTATCGTCAAAATGGCGGAATCTGTGGGAATGCAATGCTTTGCCCACAGATTTTGTCCTTATATGAGCATATTTTTGGCTCAATGAGGGCTCATGCGAAAGAGAAAGGTCCAAGGAATGGCGCTCTGGTCATCGTTTGTGTCACAAAATCCTTTTAGTAACCTAAAAATACAACTATTCTGCGGATGTATTTTGCTCGATTTTTGCTCGACTTTGGACGCTCATATTATTAAATATCGACACAATATCGTTCAACCACGACCAGAGCGCCATTCCTTGGACCTTCCTCTTTCGAATGAGCTCTCATTGAGCCAAAAATATGCTCATATAAGGACAAAATCTGTGGGCAAAGCTAACCCATATTTCGGGCCAGATTTTGTCGGATTACAGAGCGCTGCATTACCCGTGTTTGTGCCCACCAGAGATGGGCAAAACCCTAGGCTTCGAATAAATCTGAAGTTTGCCAATGTGTTTGTCTCGTTTCTTCTTCTGGGAAATGTTCGAAAGAGGAAAAGAGGCAAACATATCGGCAGAATTCAGATTTATTCGAATCCTAGGGTTTTGCCCATCACTGGTACCCACCAAGTTTTAAAATTCAAAGATCAAAATCGGAGACGGACAGTTAGATATGTTCCCTTGTTAGTGTATATCGAAGTTTAGCGAAAACGGTGTTTCGACACGGCCTATAATGAATTTGTCAAGTATTTTCAACGAACGTTTCGTTTTCTCTCCTGACTTTCGACTTTCCCATGCTCGATCACTCACGTTGAATGTTTTAACAATGGGAGTGGTGGTTCGCTGATACAATGGGTTAATCCATTTGAATTTCGCTCCTAGTTTGAATATAAATACATACTACATGCTGTAGTGCTTAAGTTATGCCGCGTTGTGACGCTACATGTAATAAAGCTAAGTTCACGTGATAGCTGGTGATAGCGTAACAATACAATTTGTGAACATCTTTTTGCTTCTCATATAATACTTATTTTAAAAAGTATAAATAGACACGTATATTAATGACTATTTTTAATTACAAAACACACTTATGCAAACTTTACATATTTGCCTCTTACAGAAAGGATGTTTACTTTTTACAATTGTATCATGTCAAAAAATCAATTCCTTAGGTTAATTTTCAAAAATGGTTTACGTAACCATAAAGTAAGTCAGAATGTTTATTAAAAATTAATAATTGATGAAATCATTAAGATTGGAGCATTAAAAAATATCTTATTAATTTTGTTTCAGCTTATGACAAAATATTGTTCAGGCCTAGTCGCCTATACACATAATCTTGCTGTACAAAAACAAGAAGTAGCTAAACAAAGTATACAACCTGTTAATAAATTTGTTTCAAGAACTCATACATGTGGCCAATTGAATATTGAAAATGTAGGAGATAGTGTTCGATTATATGGCTGGTTGGAGTTTCAGAGAATGAACAAATTTATGACATTAAGAGATGCATATGGGTCTACGCAACTTATTATACCTGACAATGTAAGTTTATCAATTGTATCCATTTTGAATGAATACACAATGCAATTTAACGAGTTGCTATCTTTTATTGCAGAGAACAGATTTGGAAGAGATAGTCAAGAAATTAAACTTTGAAAGTGTAATAAGTGTAACAGGTAAAGTATATGGGAGACCAAAGGGCCAAGAAAATAAACAAATGAAAACTGGAGATATTGAAGTACAAGTAGAGTTTTTGGAAGTTTTAAATGTTGCAAAACCAAATCTACCACTCTTCATTAGGGAATTTAATAAAGCAAAAGAAAGCACACAAATGAGACATAGATATCTGTCTTTAAGATATCCTGAATTGCAAAGAAATTTAAGATTACGTTCAAGAGTCATAGCAAAGATGAGAGAATATTTAATCAAAGAATGCAATTTTGTGGATATAGAAACCCCAACACTATTTAAAACTACTCCTGGAGTATGTAGTTTAAAGCATTATATAGAATATGTTAATAGCAGGATATTCAAAATTTCATATTTTTATATGTATAGGGTGCTCAAGAGTTCGTAGTACCAACAAGACACCTGGGACAATTTTATTCTCTAGTACAGAGTCCTCAACAGTTTAAACAGCTACTGATGGTTGGTGGTTTTGATAGGTACTTTCAAGTTGCTAGATGTTACAGAGATGAAACTGCTAGACATGACAGACAACCTGAATTTACACAGGTGTGCATTTACTTGCAAATATATATGCAATTTCTCAAAAATGACATTTTATAAATGTATAATTTCATAGCTAGATATAGAAATGTCATTCGTTGATTCCGAAGGGATAATGGAATTAATTGAAAATTTGTTAGTGTATTCTTGGCCTGAAGATTCAGAAGCAATAACTAGACCTTTCAAGCGTTTTACTTATGACAAAGTAATGGAATTGTTTGGTACAGATCAACCAGATTTAAGGATACCATATCAAGTAAGAATTAAATATTTTTAATTTATATTCATTAAGCACCTACTACTGAAATTAACACTATTAATATTTCAGCTTCATAGACTTACAAGAATAATTGAATATTCAGTATTAGAAGAAAATTTAAAAATGAAATGGGAAGAAAACTTTGAAATGTACGCCTTAGTTTTTCCCAATAAGCATGTATGTTTGTAAATGATTTATATCTTAGTTCTCTAATAATCTTTGCACATTTGCAATAAATAGTCTGTTTTTTAGGATTTCCTTACGAAATCTATGAAAGAAAGTATTTCTAAACTACAGCGCGACTATTTTCCTTCTGTAAGATTAATTCAATTAAAAGTATCTAATGAATCATCAACACAAACGAATAAAATTTACTCTAAAATTGTAAAAGGAAATGTGCAACAGAAATTAGATTTAAACGAAGGAGATGTTCTATTCTTAGCTTTTGGAAATAAATTTCCCACTGTAAGTATGACATTTTTAATGCTCTGATTTAAATGTATTAACACTTTAACGGCTGCACTTCTACGCGTAACGATAACATCACACACATGTTGTGTGAGCATCTATTAAAGTGTTATTTGTCAATATTTTCAAATAATTGTTCTTAAAATTATAGCAATCACTACTGGGAAAAGTGCGCATTGAATTTACAAATATACTGGAGAGTAAAGGTCAAAGAATTCGTACTTCTAAAAACGAATTGTTATGGGTTACTGATTTTCCATTATTTTCATATAATACTGAAGACAATACTTTAGAAACCATGCATCATCCATTTACCCATCCTCATCCAGATGATATTCAATATTTTTCTGAGACACCAAACAAGGTAATTGTATTACTTAATTAATGTACTCGATAATATTTTAATTAATAAAATATTTATTTCATTATAGGTTAGGGGATTGCATTACGATTTAGTTATGAACGGTTCAGAGATTGCTGGAGGATCAATACGAATTCACGAAGCAACTTTGCAAAGACAAATATTGAAAATGTTAAATATAGATGCATCAATGTTATCACACATGCTTGATGCTTTAGAATGCGGTGCACCACCTCATGGTGGGATTGCTATAGGTATCTTATTTTATATACGAATAATATTTAGAAAATAAGACATAAAATGAAGGCTTGTTTTAAATTACGTTATTTGCAAGGACTGGATCGTCTGATGTGTTTACTGTGTAAAGCGGAGAGTATAAAAAACGTAATAGCATTTCCAAAAACTATGGAGGGCCGAGATTTGATGTCGGGAGCACCAATTCCAATTTCTGATGAAGACAAAAAGCTGTATCACATACAAACGATAATGGAATAAAATAATACTTAAACAATACTCTTTTGTACTTATTAATGTAATTTAAAAATAATTTCCGTTGAGTTTGTTGGCAAAATAAATGCAATTACGTTCATTTTAAAAAACTCAAAAAAAGTATTATTTTGTCTCTAATTTCATACATATATTACAATTGTAATATATTATGTAACAAAAACAAAATTCAATTACGGAATATCATTGATATTATTTAGATTTATTTCAAGAACCTGTTTCATGATTTACAATATTCGTATGTGTTGCGTTTTTGTCGATACAAATAATCATAAATAAAATGGTTTTTTCCAGACAGCGATCATTAGTAAAAGCATCATGAGTACTGCACTTTTGTCATTTTGTACTGCAGCGATAAACGGGATTGATGCAACCTACAAAAGTATAAAAATAAACTATCAGACATTTACTGATTCCAACAAAATTTTATAGATCACTATCGTGTATTACAAACGGGTAATTTATCACGCAAAAAAATGGAATCGTATTAGAAAATTATCTTGTGATGACTCGCAATGTTCGAACAAGATTAATTACTAGAAACTCCACCGATTTACTTCATAGATGTAAGTACGTTATAATAACACACGTGTTACGTAGCTTCGAACGATTAAAATTTGCAGTTTACGGTATATCGTCATATCGTTAATGATCTTGCAAAGTAATGCAAACATGAACCAGTGTTGAGAAAGAGGAATGAATTGTGTATGAAACTTATTTTTCGAAATCGGGTGGAATTCCATATTACCGAGAAGGTAAATAGTCGACAATTATTAAAAAATATTGTATCACAGAAATAAAATGATAAGACCAAATTTTGATGTACAAAAAAAGTATTTTATTATAATTTTTTCTTTTTTTTTTAGCAAAACATCATACGTTCTATTCAAATGACTTTAAAAGAAAATAAAAATTTACTCTGCGCGCCAAGTCGTCAAATCGACACGTTATATCAGCAAGAAAAATTCAATGGGACATACGTCCTTTTTTGCTCTTCTCAAGTACGCTTGTTAACATTCAATTAAAAATTCGCTAATAAACGCGTTGATATGTTATTACATTTATACGTCAGTGGAAGAAAATTTTATCTCTTGCCTCGACTTAGCGAACTGGAACATAGATACATGTTTTCAACGAAACATTTTTGGCTTTTTTTCTTTTCAAACGGATGTACGCGATATACAATTTTGTTATTCAATTGAAAAGAAATGCCAAGTCTTTTTAGTCGTGGTACATATACAATCTTATTTACTTTACGTCTACTTGTCTGCATAAGACATAAATAAAAATATGTATTTATATATATGCACGGTTTACGAAGAAAAAAGGAAATCCCGTGTACACACGTTTAAAATCCTACTTATGCAAATTATGTTCAACAATTTAACCGTTTCAGAGCTGCTTCGATACATCATCGTTCGCAACGATAAACAAAGGCGAAAAAAGTAGGATCAAATGGAAGTTCTGAGATTTGTTACTGACAAAATACAACATTAAAAATGTGCGTACTCTACAATTCACTGTTGGAAGATGTTTTACACAATTGTCCAAGCTTTCGAACTGAATGCATTTTCTAACAGATGGCTTGAACGTTCGTTTTGTATGTTCCTAGTTCTCCAAGACACTCTATAGTGCAACGTTCGGTGTATGATAGACGTCTGGACCGATTCTATTCCAGCGCAGAAAATGTAAATGTTAAAAAATTAGTACTGAACGCGACTACGTTACGTTTACAAAACACTCGACGATAATTTGTACGAAAACTTAACGTAGGAACTTAGAAGATACAGAGATCATATATGTCGTCCGACAATAGTAGACGTCACAAGGTAACAATTGTCTAAATACAAACAATTACAAATACACGAATTATTCCGTTGAATCACATCACATTTAGTATCTTATTTCTTTTTTTCCAGTTTTCTTCATCTATTGAGGCGCGTTTCAATAAAACGCTTAACGATTAAGATTCCTCCAATCGACGAATGCTGTACACCTATTTTAAGTTCAATTCTAAATCCCTATGTTAAGTAGCCGCATAAATCGACGATTGCGACAGGGGCGTAAGCGGGATGATGTGCCCAATTTGTTCTACAGTTTTTTTTTGCCTTCCTCAAATAGAGTCGCGGTGAAACGATAAAGTGAACGTGTCGAATGAACATTAAAAAAAAAAGTTTTTCTCGCTCGTACGACATCGGTGTCTTTGTCAATTGTCTGCGTACCCCGATTATGCACAAAGAGAACGTAAACGCACGGTCGATCGATGAAAAATTTGAAATTCGTAAAAAAAGGTTTCGTACTTTTTCTGTTTTTTTTCTTTTTCGATCTTCTCAATATATATACAAGAATGACAGGGGACGCGTCGAGTAATCTCGATAAAAAAGAAATCCCTAATGTTTTACGCCCCTGGCTTTCAACAGGCGCGAACGGAATTTAGAAGGGAATTAGTGGCACCTGCTCGAGGATCCGATCTCAATCGATCGTCTCAACTTCAGGTTTCCCGATCGTACGATCGACAATCAGTGCTGTCTTAACATATGAGGCATACTAAATTAACACATTAGCTGCCAGATTTAAATTCATGTCAATTTTTACTTAGTCAAAATTTCGTTTCGAGACTGTTGAAAATTAGGTAATTCAACGTTTATCGTAGCATTTAATTTTGTAGCGAAATTTATTTTCATTAACGCCTCACTTTTGGAATTAATCTATTTAATTCCTTAATGAAAAGAAGTCACTCATTTCTGGGTAACGTGACAATCAATGTGTTAAGAGCCACCATGCTAACTTGTGCAACGTTTAACACATTTGTGGCGGCATTGGTCGCTAAAATTTGTCATTGCAAACAGCAATCTCTTAGCCTTCGATCTTCTTTCGTAGCCTACGACATTTAAACGGAAATAAATTTAATAAGGAGTTCATCGCACTGATTTATCCAGAATACTGTTAAGACAACATTGTCGCCGATCGTAAGTTCCGTTCACGGTTGTTAGGAGTATGTACAAATTCTCTCGAATTTTTCCATTTTGAGAACACAGTGTGTTACGCGTGTACGCGCAAGTCACAGAAAATTTATTTGCGTGTTAGGATCAGAGTTGGGCGTTTATTCGAATAGTTTCGAATAAATCTCTATCAAAATACTATCCACGTTATAAATTTTTCCATTTAGTTCATTTATCTGGCTAGTCATTCCTTATACGCAGTGTTCGAATAAAATTCTCGTCATCGACGAAATAACTTAATTAAATTTATCTACATAAAACTATCTGTTAATCGAGTTATTTTTTTTCGAATAACAAAGAATTACACTTCTTTCGCACATTCTGTTAGCGATGTAATTTTTCTGCGATATTTGTAATATTTTCATCTGGAATGTGTGATTCGTGAACTATATGATTTTTGTTCTGGCATTTGTTAAATTATTACAATTACGCTGTGATTTTTATTTACGTATGGTATTTGTTACACGTTCGCGTTCAATGTGATTTTAGTCATATTTTTGCGTGGAATGTGATTTCGGCGCCGTTTACGTAACATTTTTCATATTTGTATATCACAGAAAAATCACATACGTCTTAGTTATTCAAAACGAAAAAAAGGCGTATAACGTTTTATTTGCGAGTCACGAATAATCGTTTTATCTGGACAAATAACCGTTATCCATATAAAGCGTTATTCGCTATTCCTTACCTAGATAAAGACGTACCCAACTCTGATTAAGATACTCGGTTCGGACATTTACTAGATTACAAGTTGGCAGTATGACATAGAGTGTTTAATCTATATACGTGGATCGATCGTGGTACTTCGAGAGACGATCTAATTCTTCGAGTCCGCTCTCTCTCACGCTCTCTTTCTCTCAGTGTCCATTATAATCTCCCTTATTTTAATCCGGTCGATTGAATGCGACATACATTGTACGATTCTATATCTTCTTTCTGTTTATAGTCTAATCCCTTTCTTTTTACGAATCGCAAGACATATTTTTAAATAACATCATAGTAACCGTTCTTCCAACACAGATATCGTGATATAATTACGCACACTATTTCGCCACTTAGAAAAATACTATTTTACAAGACGAGGCGAACTCTCGCGTATTCGACGCACAATGTAATGCACTCGAGTCTGCTGAAGTCGTAGAGATACACGAGGAAACACGTTCACATACAAAGAATACATATTCCCATACACGCATCCACACACGCGCGCGCGCGCGCGCATACGTCGTAGAATCAATAGACAATACGCAACACGAACACAGTCGGTACATACACGCGCGCTTTCATATAGAATACTATAACCCCCTCCTCTTGCATAAAGTATGCTAAGAAAAACATCTAGAAATTCTAGAGGACACTGTGAATATAAATGGTATATACACGCACGACGAAAGCAGCCATGCATAAACGTACAGACAGAATATACACGAATAAGTCGTAAACACGTGTACGTTACACAAAATTGTGTAATATTTTTATCGACGCGACTTCATTCCAATTTGTGAGTTTATCGGTGTTAAACGACGATTGGAATTTCAATAAAGTCAATTGTAACAGACACGTGTACAATACAACAAGAATGTTATTTAACCGTCGTAGTTACATTGTATACAAAACTGGATTGTCGAATATTTATTTACGTTTTCTTTTCATTCGATAAAACGTTTGAATACGAGTATAACTGTCTATTCGTATGCACCTGGTTTTCTCGTCAAGATGAGATGCCACATTGCGATGACATTAACATTATATTTAGTGAACTACTGTGAGATGATTAGATTTAACTGCACTTCTTATCATCGTCGAATGTTTCTCACCCGGCCCGCCGGTTCCACGCATGTAGATTAAAACGATACCATATCTAGAATAATACATATACAATAACATAAGTGCCATCGTGGCAGTATACTTTCTGAATTATTATACCTTTATCGCAATGGAAGTCGTAAAAATACGTGATACCTTACTGCCGTCAACAAAGTGTCTTATTTTAAACGTACGCATGTTTATTGCGCGCAATAAATAAGCTCGATAGCTATCGTTCTTCTGCGCTAGCGAAGTGTATCGTACGTTATTTCAATTTTTGTGTAAACTCCGTTATAATCGGTTTGAAAGAAAAATATCCCTGATTTCGGACGGTCACTGGGGATCTTTTTAAATAACCCAAACCAATTGCTTAATTTACATCAATGCGACACGATCATAACAATTTCCCCATGCACGATATCAGTGATTGCAAATCTCATTTTTTTTGTTGAATACCAATGCTATGGGATTGAATGCAAGTGCACACATATTTGTGTGTCACGAATTTCATGTGTACATAGCATAGTTTTCTGTAGTGTCACTATAAATGTACCGATTTTATCATCTTCTTCCTTTGTGCTTCGAACTCGTTTCAAGTTATGTCAAAAAACATTCAACTGAAAAATGAATATAAATATATAATTTTGCTGTGGATACTGTTCTATGGTTTCAATTTCTTTTATGTCGTCAACGTAAATGTATAAATATATACTCTAACTTTGTTAAAATATCATTAGAGATATAGTAGTAACAAAATGCATTGTAAAATCATTGATTACTCAGAAGTCAATTAAATATATATGATTCGAAGAGTTTTTGTAACATACGATACATAATTCAATATCGTTATACTACACACAGGTACACAAGAAGGAGGTATGTACAGAAGATGACACATCCAAATACTAGCGATATTTGTAGTATACTTTGAGGAAGAAGAGAAGCAATGGTATATCACGGTTCTTAAATGTTGATAAGGTGTTATTATGATGGTCACGTTCATCGCACCATAGAGTACATGACGATGAAAACAATAAAGATGGCAAAATACATAAACGGTACGCAATATACTTGAAGCAAGACAAGCAGCCGAACTCCTGAATATTACACCAACTCTCCTGCTTCTTGGGTTCATTCCAACACCGGCGTCTCATACGTCGGTAACTTTATTTTGTACACAATGTAAATGCAAGTTCAGCTTGTTTGAAATACCCAAGAATTATTCATTGTCATTTGTTCCTTGGACCAATACAATCTTCAGTTCCTTCTTTCACAAAATTAGATAAATTCTTGTGAGCATTGCCCAGCATTCCATGTATTAATTTTATGCACTTTCATCAACAGTAGGAAGCCAGAATGCCATGTTGGTACAGGCTGATGCTAGCATCATATACTTAGGATTAAATTGAATGCATTGAACAGGTGCTGGATGATCGCCATTGAGCACGCACACTTTGTACCCTGTTTCAGCATTCCATACATGTACTCTGCCATCTGTAGATCCACTGAATACAAACTGCGAATCAGGACTAAAACTAGCCTCAATTGCGATCCCTTTGTTATTCAAATAACCGGTAAATGTTTGTAACGGTGTGCCATGAAATGCATCGATCAACCGAATCGTACTGCCATTCGTAGAAATCAAGATGGTTTTCCCATCTCTGCTGAACTTTAATCCAGTCCAATCACACTCCTTCTCTTGAGACAATTTGAATGTAACAAATGGTCCCTTATCAAAACTGCGTAAATCATACAATTTTATAAACTCTGAATTAACACCTGCAGCAAAAATGAGACCCTCTGGATCATATGCAGCAACTGGACGTCCCGAAACGTTCATAACACCATGACAATTAGGTGAACGTAAATCCCATAATCTCAAGGATTTATCTAAAGAACCAGACAGAAACGTATCTTCTATGGGACTGATACATAGCGACACAACTTTCTTGCTGTGTCCTGGAAAATATCTTATATATTTGTTGTCGTGCAGACTCAGATAACGAATCGTGTCGTCGATCTTGGTACTGCTGTGTATCGCGGTGTTCTTCGCGTGGGTGAAATGAATTAAATCTACACCATACTTCTTAGAATTGACCGTACGCACCTGAGTGCCTTTCTCACAGTCATATATCACGATCTGGTCATCCTCTGAGCAAGAGATCAAAGTGTCCCCGTTTGGTGAAAAGTCGATGCTGTTTATGCGGTCGGAGTTCTCGCGGAACACCTTGGCCACCTTGAAGCTCCTCACCACGTGGTCAACAAGCTTCATAGTGATAGACGGCGCGTTCTCCCTTTCGTATCGTCCTCTTAACCTTCCCGCTTCCGCAATTTCTTCCTCCTTCCTTTTTGATGTGGCTTAGGCGCCGAGGCGCGAACCTCCCGCGGAGGGGTCAGGGGTTTCGTCTATGTACCACTGTTATTCACCTCGCGAGAAAAAAAAAAAACCCGCGGGAGAGTTGAAGAGGTCAGAAAATCCGTAACGAGGCCGTACCCCCAGTTTACCCTCGAGTTTCTCGATCTTCCTTTTCTTATTATCAGAGTTCCTTTTCAACCAAGTCGTTTTACTTTGATCTGACAAAGGGATCCTTCGATGCCTTCCTCTCTTTCCTACGAACGGACGCCGTCGGCAGACTACCGCTACCGCACACCGCACGCACAAATTCTGCCAACTGTTTAGAGAAATGGATGACGAATTACCGTGAACATTCTCAGGATACTGTAGAGTCGTACCGTGAACGAAGCTATCAATCTGCGTCGACGTCGATTCAAACGTTTCGTCAAAGGAAACTGTTGTATCGACTAAGTTGGAAATGCTGTTAGGTTGGTCAAGAAGATCGTTCAGATTTTAACGCGTAAATAAAAAACGATTTTTCTTGTAAAACTTAGATAGAGATAAGAATAAAATTTACTCTAAAATTGTAAAAGAAAATGTATAGCAGGAATTAAGTTTAAACGAAGGAAATGTTCTATTCTTAGCTTCGGATTTCAACACACAAATAAATAGTGATTTTTTTTAGACAAGGAAGTATATTTAGTCTGTGACATAATGTGCATTTGGTTCTATGATCTTTCCCCATCTTTTGGACAAATTCGTAATTCTTCGTTTGTAGAAGTCCTCGTCAAATTAGTAATCATCCGAATTGAAGAGAGAGAACCATCACAACAAATCAAACGAACTTTTTGCCCAACCTAATACTTTACATAGTTGTAGTCAATGTGAATAAACTACAGGCGAATACCTGTTATTCGGTAATTTGTAAAGTAAACGAAAAGTAACTTAAACTTGGCATTTATACATTGTATTTCTTTACCCCGTTCTGTATTTCTAAAACGCAATTCATGTTCAGCACGTGTACCATTTACATGTCGGTAATAAGTAGTGCGCCAAATATGAAGCATGCTGTAATATTGGTACTCTTGCAGACTATAAATGCAAATTTCAAACAATTTCAAACATATGTTGGAAGAAATGTAGGTAGTGAAATGGATTAAAAGTTTATAATAGTTTATAAATAAAAGTAAATACTATGAGATTTGTAGCATCAAAGTGTAGAAAAGCGGTAGTATAAGAGGTATAAACGAATATTTTGCGATTTATTAAGGAATCCTTTTTTCCTTTTTTCTTGCAGCATAAAGTTTCATACAATATTTCGTTATTTAAAAAATAATTAATTAACGAATATTAAATCTTTGTGTGTAACTTCGCTATATAAATTATAAACATATAAAATTTGCGTTATCACAAGATAATGTCTTTATTATAAATGTGTTCTGTAATCTCAGAATAACAATTGTTGTCTATATTAATATATGTAACTAAATATATATATATTTAGTTATTCTTCCTTATGCTTTGCTAGTTACATAAAGAGAATTTTATCATTGCAAAATCATAAACAGCGCAAATGTTTTCTTATATTATTATAAAATACCAATTTAGTTTCTATTTGACTATCACTTTGACATTGTCAAAAGCATCGTTGTGCATTATTAGTGGAACATATTAATTATTTTTGAATACATACGACTTGTGTTTCTTATGATTCATTATGAACTTATTTTATTTATACATACATATTTATTATCTTATCGAGATAGTAATTTTTAATTATATCAAACAGATGCATCATGACAAACAGAATTTCTTTTGTCAGTCAGTTTTCCAATGATTCTTCTTTTTGTATGTTTTTGCATTGAATGCATTTGTCTAAAGAAAAAGAAATAAAAACATCACGATACATCTTTCCATTAGAAACATGCTCTTTAAATATTTAAAAAAATGTATCGTTTTGTTTGTATTTCATGTACATTCATATCATTATAACACATTTATATACGTTTATCGCAAAGCGACTTATACGACTTAAATTTATAGACATTAGAAATTTAAAATAATATTTCCCTATCTTTTGTAGATGTTTTGTACTTAGGTTATAAAATAAATAAAATAAATATAATTTTTAACATGCAAACTTTAAATGCAGCTTATGCTACACAAAATTAAGCGAAACAGCGTATAAATAGTTTTTAATAAAAGTATTATATTCTGTTGCCTTATTACTGGGAAATATTTATCAAAAATTTTGTAAACCTGAATAAAAAATTATGCTTAATAATGATACAATGTAATCTCATCCAGAGTGTTCGATTATGATCATACGAAAATAGTTATGCATTTTGCAATTAGAGCTAGATATAAATGTTTTTTATCTATCAAATTCAATGCATTTACAGCCATTATTTTTCTTTTGAACTAAGCAGTTTATATATTTCTTTTATAAATTTAAGCTCAAAACCATATATATTTACATCTAAATGTGTCGCTAAAAAATCAAAATAATTAATACTGCTCCTCAATATTGTATTTGAATTTATATAATTAAATTTAGTTCATTTTGCATAATTCTTTATCACTATATATATTTTCTAAAATGGAAACTAACTTTTTTTAAGTAAATATAGCCTCAAGGGATTAAAGCTTATCTTTTAATAAAATTTTCTTCGTTTTCATTTTATAAGGCTGATGTTAATATTGACTGCTATTAGGTTTATATAAATATGTACAGAAATTATTCACACAATATAATTTATAACGTAACATCAATCTTGCAATGTTTCTTTTTTTTTTTTAGATATTATGTGTAAATATGTGTCTAGATATTTAATTTATAAAACATTAGTGCAATAAATATTTTCACATAATTAGGCTTATGGAATGTGAACAAGGCGCTTTATTTGAATCAAGATATTTTATGTTGCAAATATTAATTCAATTCAAAAAATAATTATGTAATTATTATACATCTATGTTGGCTTTATATGTAATTTTTTGTTTTTTATCTTTTTTTTGTGTGACCCATACTGAAAGCTTCCATTTCAAGTCAACAATCAGTGAAATGTATGATTAAACATATCAAAGCATTTTGTACATAGTAAGTTTTTAGATTTTTGTTTTACTTTCTTTCAGTTCATATTAGGACGACACAATGTACAGTTCTATTATTATACCCTCTTTTAAAATTTGTTTTTTAAAGAACTATACTGCAAAAAGGAATTAGAGTTTACAATAACGGTAATGACGTTAATATATCCCATACAAAATTGAATTAGCAAAAAATATAGTTCTGTGTTTCATTTTGCTTTGTGTAATTGTTAGTCAACTATTAAATAGATTTTGTATAAAGAGAAAGCTTCAATTCTGGCACGCGTTGCATACATGACAAATTTGTTTAAAGTTTATACTCCATTTTTGTAACAATAACAACAACAATAACAATTATGGTACTTATAATAATTGCAATGTCTTATAATTATCGGTTCTTTTAAAAGACATTACAAATGATTTGCTTGCGAGGAACATATATCTGGTAAAGCTTTGCATAAAGTATACTGAAAGTTACAAGGCAAAACGGTAGCTATCTAAAAAAAAAGTATAACAGATATAAAAATCAATGTCACCAGCATAAAATTTGTTTTTATCATTTTTACATCAGTATACTTTACCCAAATCAAACCAATTATTTCGAAGACTGCTGCATAGAGCAATAGGCCCTGTTTTGGTCCCTGAACCTAAAACTTGTACTTACATTTAGCACCTTACAATGTTTATGTTTTGTTAGATCATTTGTCGTGAGCTAAGAAATTAATAAAGAAGAATATTATAAGTATTTTTTTGTACTGAAGATGTAATCCAATTAATAAATGACGTGACATTTTTTTTACATTACTTTTAGTACATATAATACTAACTTTTTATCATCTCTTTTAATCTCAGCTCAAATTATAACATAATCCAATTTTATAAATGAAATTAGAATTGTCGAATCATCAATTTTATAGACTATAAATTCAATATAAACAATCAATCACGTAAAAAAATATAAAATAATGTATCTATAAATTTGTTAACAAACATTGATTGAGTTCCTTTCGATTTAGAAAAAGAAGAAACTATTTCACTTTCAAATGTGTGTATATAAATAGATATTTGCTTCTAACAGGATATTGTCACTGTGAATTGAATATCTTTTATTCAATTTCAGTGGTTTAACAATTTTCTGAGGTTCAGGGAAATCGATGACTGTGCTGAAGCAGTTACAGCAGACTAGGCTAGTGTAGATTAGCGCATTAAGTTATAAATTTGTTCAAAATTACACTTTTTAAATTCATGTGCGACAAAGTGTAAGCAATAAATTGAAATTAATTGACAAATACATATGCATATACGCATACATATATACTAATTTGTATGTATACATACATCCATGCTTCTTATATTTAACATTCAATTTAATTTTATAGCCACTGAACATTGTGTTTATAAATCATATAATCTATACGAGACTATTTTCCACAATGTGTTGTAGTACTTTGATTTCAGCTTTATAATACTTTTGTAAATCATTGTATGAAATGATCAATTAAGACTTTTTGCTCAATTTTTGTGCTACTTACGTAATGATTGTGCAATGCATAAACGTATAATCGCTTAATCTGTGAGGCAAATTGTTAATTCACAGTTACACAAACTTGATTTCATATTCAAATTTTTCTTACAAATAGGTGTGTATGTGTGCATGTACATACATATATCTATGTTATTGCATAACTATTATAAATGTGTAAACTTCAAAAGCATGTTCAAGTAATACTAAATGTCTTTAATTACGCTATCTGTTTTGTAGGAAAGGCCTCGTAGTGCTAAGTATAAGAAAAGAAAGTTATATTTACGGATTTAACTTTCCTCCTTACATGTACTATTTGAAAATTTGTTCTATACTTTTTTCCCACGAAATCACGATACCATGGAAACTTTCACTTCTTTCTAAATTTGTTTCATGTCCTTGAAAATGCACAAAATGATAAAACACATTAATTCTCAAGACCGCTTCTGTGCCCATTTCAGATCGTCTGCTCTTGGCTTGCAACCGGTAGCTTTTTCAATGAAAACTTCTAGAATGTACCAGAAGCGAAGTTTTTCTAATGGCCAGTTCAACCATCCTGTAGTAATGCAGAAATAAGTTTCATGTGGTGCAACGTGATGCACGCGATGGTGTTTTCTGGGTAATATAATTCTGTGTTCCTGTAACCAAACAACCCAGGTAGGTAGTCCAAAATACGTGTGAGACCATTTATGTATCTGAAAAAAGTCTTTTATGTTGTTGCTACTATGTAATTTTGTTAATGTTAAATATAATAGAATTCTAAAAACAAAACATGTGAGAAATTCAAAGAAGAGAATTATTTCATCTTATTGAATATAAGAAAATAATTTTACAAAGTCCACATACCTGATTAGTCATCGCTACAAAAATTGCAAGTTGAAACCAGTAGCAGGTCCAAACAAATTTCTGCTGGATCTCCGACTCTGGGAGACTTAAAAACTCCCATGTTAATTTGCAAAGGAATGGTATTGTGACCATGAAATTATCACCATTAGTTTCTATAAAATCATGCCTTGTTATACTTGTTGGGTCAATATGATGCTCCCGAAATGGTCTCAAAAAATTCTGAAAATAAACATCTATAGATTTAATAGTGTATAAAACAAAGCATGTGCTATATTTAAAAAGAAATACTTTGTTTATAGATCCCAAAATATTACATGCTTTAAAATCAAGAAAATTACGCTATGAAGTAAAATCAACGACATAACATTGAGGAATAGCCTTGCTCGTAATTATATATTTAGACTATTCTTTTTACCTTTCCAAGAATTGGAAGTTCCACGGAGCCCCATGTATCAGCGGCCCAATGAACTAATCCTGACGCGAAATCTGCCGTAACGATGCCGCAAAACGCTGCCATCGCAATTGAACTTACATTTTCTAATCGTAACCTAACGAGGATAAATATTGAATTAACCACCATCAGTGTAATGCAGATACCGACGCAAACGCACTCCTGTGTCCTTTTCCCTGAAATATATAAAAATGTCGTGAAGTAACATTTACCTTTGACGTTCGAAAAATACATAACTTGATCTCAAAACGTGTTACACGCGGTTATAACTGCATACGCGAGGAAAATTGTAATAATGTTTTTAAAAGTACGCTGAAATGTAAATGCAAAAATACGTATTGTTAGACTTCTCTTTATTTTTGCACGCAAGCGAGGGTTCCAAGGTGCAACCAATGTATAGTCAATCTTTTGGCAAGTATTAAAATCAAAAAGCATACGATGTGCACGTATCATGCTAACACTACTATGCAACGCTCTGCATTTAATCTAAATCGAATTATTAATTGATTCCAAATGTTAAAACACGAAACTTGCCGAGTGCAATTTTAAAAAGAAAAGAATATTCGTGGTTGCATTCGCGCTCAATTATTAACGCTTTATCGATTAGTAACTTATTAAACAATTCATTATATGAATTATGAAATATTATGTAAATATTAAAACGATTCTAATAGATGAAATAAATATATGATACTAATGTTATGAAAATAAAAAATATATTGAGTTATATATTCAACCGCTATCGGTCGATAAAGTGTTAACATAAGATGTTACCTTTAACTCTGACTTTTTTATTGTTTCAAATTATCGTGCAGAATAATCTAAACAAATTTATTTGATTTAACGAACGAGATAATTACCAGTGCTGTAAAGATTCGCGAGCTCTTGGGCACCCTTGTGATTAGGGCCCCATCTCGGCACGGTTCTGTCTTCTTGCGAAGTAGGCACCACCGAGTTGGCATTGGGATCGTCCTCTAGCATCGAATTCTCGTAGATCTGCCGTTCGGTTTTCACCGGCGCCAAGAAATTCGTCGCCATCGAGCACGCGGCTGATGCCGCTTGGCTCAAGTTCGCCACCTTTATTTCGTCCATAATTATTCTCGTGATCAATCCCTAATATTGCCCGAACGATCAGGAAATGTCTGTTCTTTTACGAATCGATACTGTTCTGTCGTCTGTCTCTAGACATCGCGGGTACCCCTTCGTTTCTGGATATTTCTGTGCAAGGTTTACAGGCTATTGAGTAGTTTCTTATAGAGCGTGAACGATCATTTAAATTTCGCATGTAGAAATGGCCATAACAAGTTACACATTATTTCGTGTACATTCGTATTATCTGCGGTTCGATTCATCTGATTTACTTGCAACTTTTCCCACCGTAGTCATCGCATCGTTTATTCGCCGGAGTTTGTTCCGTTTTATGTTAGCGTTTCTTTCTCTCTTTTTGTTGTCAATTCTTTGTAAGCGGCTCTTCATGCGTCGTAGTTTAAACTACGAAAAGTAAACAACTTGTTAGTATACTAAGTTCTTCTTTTTGTACAGGATACCTCTTAAACATTTTTCTAAATATCTCCTTTTTAGAAGTATTTTCACTTTTAATATTTTTCTGTGTTTTTGATTGTACACTCTTTCAACGGCCATAACACCATCAATTTACAGTGCAAAATTAAAACTAAATATACCGTGCGAAAGAGTGTTAAATATCCAATCTCCTTGATGTAACAAGTAAACAATTAGGTCAAACTTTAAATTATGACAATTTCTACAAAATTGACTTTTCCTTTATCCATTTTCTGATTTCAAATACACAGTTATTTGGCTGGCACTCCTCAGGAAAAACTTTCTCGAAGTCTCAGCTTTTCAATAGTATAATCAATAAAAATTTTACAGTGGTATTTCAAGGATAAATGACATTTAAATGCAAAAAACGTACGTTTTTACGTGAAATTCGACATTTGTCAAAGAAAGAAAAAGAAAAATTTACCCACTCCATTTATTAAATTAAAAGTCAATTTAAAAAATAAAATTTAGAATAAATACAAATTTTTATTAATTTAGGTTCTCAAAATGCGCTCCTTCCTTGCCTCTATGCATAGACGGTATCTGCAGGGTGTTCCAAAAATGTTGTAACACCTTGAAAAGCGTGGTTCGAGAGGTGATTTGAAACAACTTTTTCCTTAGCGAGAATGTTATCCAAGGCTTCGATAAGGAGATATTAACGGAAAACACTGACCAATCAGAGCTCGAGTATGCCAGTGGAGCGGCCGCAGTAGCGTATGAGATTGGCCGCCTAGCGCGTAGCCGTGGCAACCACTGCTCCAACAGTATACGCGCGCTTTGATTGGTCAGGGTTTTCCGTTAATATCTCCTCAACGTAGCCTCGGACAACATTTTCGCTAAGGAAAAAGTTCTTTCAAATCACCTCCTGAACCACCTCTTTCAAGGTGCTACAACATTTTTCGGACACCTTGTATTCAGTATGGTCCTCGTTATATCCCGGAGTTGGTGTGCATTTATACGGAATTTTATTTTTTAAATTGACTTTTAATTTAATAAATGAAGTAGGTAAATTTCTCTTTAGCGACAAAATGTGTTATTCTAATTGGAATTTAGTGGACCTTACGGTTCCCTTTCACTTGTTCCAATAAATTATTTTTTCAAATTTAGACTTTTTTTTATCGATCCTCCGACTCCAAAAACATCGCTTTTTGGTTTTTTGAAATTGATCATGTTGCAATCTCCATATCATTTATCGGTACACCCAGGTAGATTTTGATTAAACAGTCTCTAAAAATGAAATTCTATGGATACATGTTCAAAAACAATTTATTATTCATTTTGCACTCAGGCTCTACACACGGATGGGAGAGGTTTGAGGTGTTGAAAAACAGTTTTTTTTTTCTTAAACGGGGTGGCTCGGGAGCGTCGCGAAAAAATACATCAAATCTGATGTCAAACTAATTTTAAAGTGTCAAGTCGATTTTTATTGAAAAATGTCAATTTTCACATAAAAACGCACGTTTTTTTGCATTCAAACGTCATTTTCTCCGTAAAATACCATTATAAAATTTTTATTGACTATACTATTGAAAAGCTGAGACTTCGAGAAAGTTTTTCTCCAGGAGTGCTCGCCAAATAACTGTGTATTTGAAATCAGAAGACGAATAAAGGAAAAGTCAATTTTGTAGAAATTGTCATAATTTAAAGTTTGACCTAATTTTTCACTTGTTAAATCATGGAGATTGGAAATTTAACACTCTTTCGAACGGCGCATTTAGGTTTAATTTTGCACTGTAAAGTGATGGAGTTATGGCCGTTTAAAGAGTGTAAAGTCAAAAACACAGAAAAAAATTAAAAGTGAAAATACTTCTAAAAAGGGAATATTTAGAAAAATGTCTAAGAGGAACTTCGTATTGGAAATTAGTTGTAGAATTGATTCCCTAAGTTTGTCCGGACTGTAGACACCCTGTATATTTAATCGATGCGTTTATTGTCACGTATTGTATTAATGCTTGCCAGTGTCAATTTTACGCAATTCTGAATTACTAAAAAATAAGTCATCACTAAGTTCCATGTGTAATAGGGACAATGGACAAATTTCATTGTACGCGAAAATTACAACGTGCTTATAGCACGATGGTTGAATATCTTTTATTGGTCAATATTCGAGGATAAAACTGAATCTAACAACGAACACGCAACGGTGCGATAAACCGATGAAACTGATGGTCGCAAGTGCCGAATATTCCCCGTTTGATAACACTTTTTCAGTCAGGTTTTATGTATCTTTCACGGTGTTCTACAGGAGTTGAAATTTCTTGGAACGATATTTATAGCAATGATAATTAACTATAAACTATGATAAAGCATTCGTAACGGATAGTAAAATCTATATTAAATAAATTATATCGAATTTTTCTATTCGCTTATCTTAATTTATGATGTATTTGTTTCAACGATTTCTTATTTTGTTAGGTTTTTGTTACAGCGTTATCAGTCAATTAACGATAATATTATTGATCACGAATGATCTAAACTTACGTGAGAAGATAGAAATTTATCATTCAGAAAAAATGTTATCTTGATCTGGTATATCCTTAAGGCAAAACAGAGATAACAAGTCATAAACATCTAGAAGGTTAAAGAGTAATAACTAGGTTACGGATTTTATGCATTTACACAACATGTTGTATTGACGTATAATAATGTGGTTTGTTTGCATAAGTGCACATACCTTTTGGTTACGTTTAGCATGTGTTTATTATATTAGTTTATATTATAAATCCATAAAATCCACAGTCTAGTAATAACAGTATGATTCGAACCTTCGTACGAGCGCCAGTAAAGTAGGTTAATTTCGCTTTTACACGAGCTTAAGAAATAATTTTGATAATACGCCGAGTCTACCCTTGCCCCTATTTTGACCGCGTGTGTACCAATCGAAATAATTCAAGGGCTATTGCATGTCGCGTTTAAAACTCAGTTTGTCACATACAAAGAATCTATATTCGCCTACATATATTCTATTAATAACGGATACAAATTTGTTAAGATGCAATAGAAAGGAATTAACGATACAAATTTAGTCACGATAAACAAAATTCCACTAATTAATTATTCATTTTGGTATCATTTCAGACCAAAATAAAAAGTCTGACAACAACTATACAAGTAGAAACTATACAACTTATTGGTAACTGTATAAAAGTATTAAAGATTACGTGACACTACAACCAGTCAGTGTTTAAATCTCCTACCGTGCATATTTTTGTAAGTACAACATTCGCGAATGCTCTACCATCGATACTTTTTGATCGTGTACGCACACAGAATACTCTAAAACCAGCGTTCGCGGTTACGCACGCACACATACTCGTCCTTTATACATATAGACACGTGCACGTGCATGCCAGTATTCGCTGAAGCATGAGTTACCAGCTGAATATTGGAGCAGGGTAGTGCAAACTAAGTTTGATCCGGTCCTCAAAACGTCTCAAATGAATTTAATTTAGCAGAGTTAAATGTCAAAGGCATACCCGTGAGACGAACGAAAGGAACGAAAGTACGACGATGGATAATCCTCACAGAGCTTAGAGGACTTCACGATGCCACCGTTCTCCGTCTTTATCCTGGTCGACGCATTGTCCAGCCATAAAATCGCTGAATGGTGCACGCTCAATTAGTCACTGGTAGGATCGAAAGAGACCTACGACGAGACACTATCGTACCTCGTACCGATGTAACACATACACACGTAAGGAAAGCACGCATGATGTTCGCACGCATTCGTGTCGTCTCGCGCACAACGTTTTCTTCTTCTTTTGGCTCTCGTTACACTATGAAATCACCACAGAGCTGGGAGTAAGAGGTTCGAGGCCTTTGTATGTCGCATGCGGCGAGTAACAGGGAGGATGGAAAATCGGAAAGGTGATAGAAAGCGCGGAGAAAGACGAAAGAAAGGCGGGGAGTAATTGACGAAAGGATCGAGGAGACACAGTCGTCGCGAATTGGCATTTAACTTCGACGAACTGTGCCACTCTTGTGAGCCGATATTGGTACGAAAGGAACGAAGAGAAACGTAAACTGAGGCGCTAGTTTCGCCGTGTGTTTGCTCAGTTCTGTTCGTGACTCTTCTCGGTTCTTTCTCTTTTGCTCGAGTTCACGTTGCGTGAATTCGCTGACTCTTTCCTTTTCCTTCTTTCATGCAGAGCTTCTCCTGCAACCCCGCCACGTTTCGTGACAAACGGCCGGCGCCGCCTGACGACCATAGTTCGCGTTGCGTCGCGACGCTCTCGTGGCGCCGTCACGCGGCTACCTTTTCTGACGTTTACCACTTCTGTATGTAGGAAGATTTCCGTTCGAGCGAGGTGGTATAATTCGTTGCGCTCGTACTTTCATTTGCTTTAATTCCATCCTGCCCACGGGTAAAAGCCTCTTACGTGATCTCTCCCCCCCCTCCTCACTCACTGCATTATATTTAGTATTGGTCCCACATATACAGGGTAAAGCATTTAAAACAAATCGAGTTTGTTTACCAGTAGCTTTTTTGATAAATGAAAATATAAAAGGGATACGTAAATCGATATATTTTTTTAAATGGAATAATTTTGTTTGTATATTTTCTATCAGCATGTTTTAAGCTGTATGCAATGACCTGTAAGTATTCGAGGTCCTCAAAGATCAATTACAAACTAAAACACGTGCCTTGGAATGTAACGTCAGTATTATTATTCTGCGGTAGTACTTACAGAATATAAGACGATATAACACGAAAGTTTTTTGGGAAAATGATGGGTGTCCGAATACGTTCTACTCCATTGTATAAGATAAGCTGTGCGTTTGTATGCTAAAAAATTTTCTGTTGTGCCAGATTTGGCGACATGAACAACGAGCATTGTCTTTATCGGATCACTGTGAAGTGTCCATCGACACTCAAGGTCACATCTTATACGCTTACAGATCTGGTTACAGTCAAATATCTTCATTGGTAATTGACCCCTATTGATCTTTAATAATCTTCGGTCATCAACCTTCAATAAAGTCGTTGTACACATTTTAAAATACCCTATTAAAAAATATTTAAATAGAAACATATTCCATTTAGAAAAGTAATATCCGGGTTTGTATGTACTTTACACTTTTATCTATAGACGAGAGCAAGTATAATACGACACTATCAGTATACTACGATACAGAGACGAAGTGGGAGCGCCTTATCTTGAGTTTTGCAAAGAACCAGACCGAACCGATTCGAACTGAAGTAAATTTAATATAATGACGTGTCAGGTATTCCTGCCACGGTTAAAGATCCTTATGTGGTTATTGAATCCATACGTGTGATACATCAAGTAGCGTTCGTGATATGTCATGGACGCAAAGTGCTTTGTTTCCAAGCATAACTTCGGAGAGGACTAACTCAGTTATTTGAAAGCGCGTGACATTTGGGTAATTCGACCTTTATCACCATACTTTATATATTCTATTATAAAAAATGTAAAAATTATACAGGGTGTCCCAAAAATGTTGTAACACCTTGAAAGGGGTGGTTCGGGAGGTGATTTGAGACAATATTTTTTTTTAGAAACTTAAACTACAAATGAGTATATAGCTACGAAAAGACATGTATACGTCATCAATTAAACATGCAGCAGTACGAACATGACCATACATGTGTACATTATGACACGCTGGCGTGCATATATACATGCATGACTCAATACCCGTCCTCGTTTACGAACCGTGTAGTTATAAACGATGAATTTCTATTAAAATATTTCATATTACGCCAATTGTAGCACGCATAGATCGCTTTACTTAATTCAATTTATGTTTATTATATTTTACGTTGACTATTCTAGAATTTGATATAAGAATTTCCTACCGCTGTCTCTTATCGCATCATAGAATTCACTGGTAACCACGTATAAATAACTATACATATATCTGCACGGTATGTTATGCCCAATAGAGGTGAAGAACCTGATAAATTTTGTCCTTCAATGTTTAAACGTAGTAAAGTTTGATTTGACCTAAGAGTCCTTTAGTGTAGGACATGTGGAATCTCACCGAACGTTCATACTTTATTCAGAGGTAGATCGACCGAGCAGAACTAGCCCCTAACTAACTTTTTCATAAGTTATGTCACGAAGATATGTAGACCCGCAATCACGCAATAATAATGGCGTTCGTGGTAGCATACTATTATGTATAGACGCGTAATTATCATAAGAGAAATTTTTAATGTTATACGTTAATCGAATTTCGAATCGACCTTTTTTTATTTAACCACCTTTTATTATTTAAGTTATTGTATTTGAAAATCGTTCAGCGTGATGTTATTTTATATCAATATTGTTTTAATGAAAATTTATTTTATGTAACGAATATTGACAACATAGCGTCGAATTCTATACGAAACTTTCAATGGTCCAATTACTATGTTTTTCGAGAGCTAAAGGTTAAATTGATTTCTTAATACGAGGAGTCTAGATCGCGATCTATCTAGAATTTTGTGAAAGGGTCTGACCGTATACTTACCACGTGTATTTAAGTATAACAATCACTCGACAATAGCGAAAAAACAATATTACAAACGTGAACTTTTGTTAACTTTTAAATTGACATTATTTTGTACTATTCAGCGAGATCTTCGTAATTTATCTGTTTGAGGTTATCTGTTCTTCGTCTAGCCTTGTACGACCAGCCTAGTTGCCAAGTTACAATAATGCCAAAACAAATTCAGAAGTGCGAAACTTCGGTTGACATAAATTTCTTAACTGTGATAAACGCGGTACATACAAGAGGTGGTTGTCAATTAAAGAAACTAATGTTTCTACTATTAAACACCATTTCGTATTGTTGAAGTGTCATTGTGTGATTTTCACAGTGATTATTGACTAATTAGACGTTTATATTATGTACTTAACACTTTATCGACTGGTAACATATTTATCGACTTTTTGCTAAGACAACCAATATTTTGTTGTCTGTTATTGAGATAATTTTTTGTGCTCCCATCATTATATGAATATTAATCAAAAAACGATTCTAATAGATGAAATAAGTATTGAATAATACTAATGTTGACAAAATAAAAGGTATTATTGGATTTAATTCATGTCCAAGCGCTACCAGTCGGTAAAGTATTAACATTCAATTTTACAGTTATTTGTGCAAACACATAGGTGAGTTGCAATCCAAGTGCTGTCTGTACCTACAAGCTGGCCCGGAAGACAAAACGAAGATGGCATCATTCAACTGCTTACGTAGAAGCTAGACCACTTTTATTTTTGTTGACCAACGTAGCGGTTATCGTCATGAAAACGACAATTCCTATTTCATACTTTCCGTATTACATAATTTCTGCATAATAATAAGATTTATTGAACGTGTCAAGTAAACGAAAGTAATATAAATTAATTCGACAAAGTTAATTTTGTACAGTAGTAATTAACGTAAAACGATATAGTATTCTTATACAAATTAATCTAATTTAATCTGCTAACCTTCGCGAAGGAAGTTCTTTATAATCGTATTGTATACAAATACTTTTATTATTTTTCGGATATTCTTCAATTTAAACTTCGTTATCTATTCAGTTTCATTGATATAATTTACACTGCTACACCAGAACTGTTTACAACATTTTTCCGGAAGTGCTAAGACTATACAAGGTTTACAAAAGGATAATAACACAGCAGGGTCTTACAAAAGGACAAACTTATTTTCAGAATTATTATAGGGATAAATTAGTACCATGTTACACCAGTAGAGGTCTTTCACGGAGTTGCTGTGACTATTAATCGTTTTAGGGCTGATCATTACAATCTAGCGGGATCACTCTCACGTATAGGAATTGTTAGAGACTCAAAATGCGAATGCCATAATGCATCCAAGATTTAAATCACATTATTTGGCAGTGTTTTCAATACAACACGCATTAAAGTACTTCAGAACATCAAATTGTATTTACCTTTGACAATGCAAATTATAATCGCTGCGCCAAGTATTCTAGCTTGTACGTGTATTCATAACTTTCTAAAAAAGTATAATTTGAAAATATAAAAAACAAAAAACTACCATTATGTTATAATTAATTGTTAGTATGTATGGATGAATGTTTGTACGTATAGATAAGTATTACTATCGTATGGTATCAATATTAAGTTGTATTATTAGTATAATACATGGAAATTGTATAGCTGACATAAACTTTGTAAAAGGTTTCAAAGGCTGAATTAATAAATAAAAAAAAAAACTATACAAGGTTTTTCAAATTTTCTATCCTCGATAACAATTACAATTTTATAATTACAATTACATTATTAAGAAAACATGCAACAGTATAACAAAGCCTTCTCTAGTCAAGATGTAAAACGACAATGTTTACACGATAAACAGTAAGCACTATATTCACATCATCCTACAAACAGTTATTTAGATAGTAGCTTTGAAACTTACTATTAAAATTTAACTATACCGTGATCAGTTTGATTTTTGCTTAGCTTCGAAAGACACTGAATCAACTAACTATACATGTGAATCGTAGTGGCGACATGATGTACAGATGCCCAAGGTACAATGCACGACCGTACAACGTGTACCACAATGACAAACCGTAAGTTGATATTTTTTACTGCGAATTGAGTAGATATCGGTCATTTGCGGACTTGCGTGCTGCCACATAAGCATATCCAAGGTACGGAGAAGACGGTGGTACGAAGCGTGGGAGAGTACACATACACCTGACATGACATGATTTCCATTGTTTCAAACATTTGCTTCGAAACGTGTAAGTAGATACACGCTGTCTACCTAGTGGTAACTACAGTTGTCAAGTTACCTCAAATCGGTTGTGAATCATCGAAAGTAATAATAAAAACCGCGGCAATTGCTATGATGAACATTACACGTATACAGGGTGTCCCAAAAATGTTGTAACACCTTGAAAGGGGTGGTTCTGGAGGTGATTTGAAATAACTCTTTCCTTAGCGAAAATACTGTCCGACACTTCGTTGAAGAGATATTAACGGAAAACCCTGACCAATCAGAGCGCGAGTATGCCGGTTGAGCGTAGACTACGCGATAGGATGCTTCGCTCATACGCTACCGCGGGCGCTCCACCGGCATAGGCGCGCTGTGATTGGTCAGTGTTTTCCGTTAATATCTCCTCAACGTAGCCTCGGACAACATTTTCGCTAAGGAAAAAGTTGTTTCAAATCACCTCCCGAGCCACCCCTTTCAAAGTGTTATAACATTTTTCGGACACTTTACGAACTTTTAAAACAATAATTTAACCCAGACGTATGGTAATAAACTTTAATATTTATTTTCGATTAACGGTTAAACCATTGAGAATTCTCATCGAGAATTCACCGATTCGCAAACATTTAACAAATGTTAAAACGATATCATAGAGTGAATTCATGATACTAAATTCGTAACACACTCATCGAACTATCTTATAAAAATAGTTTCATTCATTCATCGTGCTATTATATCACGAATTTTTACATATAAGCCAAAAAAGATATCCATGAAACGTAAGGGTGCGCAGGAGACCCAGCAAAACTCCGAGTTGACTTCAGCGA